TTGAAGATATATGATGGAACAATTAAAGTTGTTCGAGATGTACGGCACGTGAAAGGCCTGAAGAAAAATTTATTATCCTACGGATTGTTGGATAATAATGCAAGCAAGATTGAAACACAGAAAGGAATCATGAAGGTGTTCTGTGGAGCGCTTGTGGTCCTGAAAGGTGAAAAGATAATAGCAAACTTATATATGCTGAAGGGAGAGACTTTGCTAGAAGCAGAAGCCTCTGTTACCTCATGTAGTTCAGATTCTGCAATGCTATGGCATCAGAAACTTGGACACATGTCAAAACAAGGAATGAAAGTCCTTATGGAGAAAAAGCTACTTCCAGGCTTAACAAAGGTATCACTGTCTTTGTGTGAGCGTTGCATAACAAGTAAGCAGCATCGGTTGAAATTCAACACGTCAAATTTTAGGGGCAAAAGTGTTCTAGAATTGGTTCATTCTGACGTTTGGCAAGTACCGGTTACATCCCTATGCGGAGCAAAATACTTTTTCTCATTTTTTGATGACTACTCTAGGAGATGTTGGTGTACCCTATTAAGAAGAAGTCAGATGTGTTTTAAACTTTCAAAAACTTCAAAGCATGGGTGGAACTTGATTCTGGAAATAAGATCAAGTGTTTCAGAACAGATAATGGAGGAGAATACACAAGCGAAGAATTTGATGACTTTTGCAGGAAATAAGGCATCAAAAGACAGTTCACAGTGGCGAACACTCCTCAACAAAATAGAGTGGTAGAGCGGATGAACAGAACCTTGTTAGAAAGAACAAGAGCAATATTAAGGGATGCAGGCCTAGAAAAATCATTCTGGGCAGAAACAGTCAATACCATCTGTTATTTGGTGAATCGAGCTCCATCAACTGCAATAGAGCTGAAGACACCAATGGAGATGTGGACTGGTAAACCAACTGATTATTCAAACCTCCATATATTTGGAAGTATTGTGTACGTGATGTACAACTCCCAAGAAATCTCAAAGCTGGATCCAAAATCCAAGAAATGCAAATTCTTGGGGTATACTGATAGAGTCAATGGGTATCGCTTGTGGGATCCCACTTCCCACAAAGTAGTCATCAGTAGGGATGTTATCTTTTGTAGAAGATAAGCTACAAAGAAAAGAAGATGATGATAGCACTGAAAAGTCAGAGACTACACAGATACATGTGGAAAAAGAGGTTGAACAAGGAGATTCTTTTGAAGCAGAACCAGCACATGATGAACAAGAACCAGAGAGTTCTGAAGCTCCAACAACTCGTTAATCAGATCATGTGAGAAGACGTCCCAATTGGCACTCAGATTATGTTATAGAAGGAAATGTTACATACTGCCTTTCAACAGAGAACGGTGAGCCATCAACATACCAGGAGGTAATAAACAGCTCAGATGCTTTACTGTGGATGATGGTGATGCAAGAAGAAATCGAAGCCCTTCATAAAAATAATACATGGGACCTTGTGTCACTACCACAAGGAAAGAATCCAATTGGTAACAAATGGGTCTTCAAAATCAAGCGAAATGGTGACGATCAAGTGGAGAGATATCGTGCAAGACTGGTGGTCAAAGGATATGCTCAAAAAGAAGGTATTGATTTCAATGAAATTTTTTCTCCTATGGTTCGACTAACAACAGTTCGAGTAGTCTTGGCAATGTGTGCTACATTGAACTTACATCTAGAGCAGCTAGATGTTAAAATAGTTTTTCTTCATGGAAATCTTGAAGAGAAGAGATTTACATGCTCCAGCCTGAAGGTTTTTAAGAAAAGAAGAACTTGGTTTACAGGTTGAACAAATCTCTGTACGGTCTAAAGCAGGCGCCGAGATGTTGGTATAAGAGATTTGATTTCTTCATTATGTGCCTTGGATACAACATACTTAATGCAGACCCTTGTTCTTATTTCAAGAGGTCTGGTGATAACAATTTTGTTATATTGTTGTGGTATGTGGATGACATGTTGATTGCAGAACCCAACAAAGATCATATTGAAGAATTGAAGGCAAAACTGGCTAGGAATTTGAAATGAGGACTTGGGTCAGCAAACAAGATTCTAGGGATGCAAATTCACCGAGACAAAAGTAATAGGAAGATTTGGCTTAACTTCAAATTATCCTCCAGTATGAGTCCTAGCAGTGAAGAAGAGAGGATGAAGATGTCTCGAGTACCGTATGCATCAGCAGTGGGAAGTTTAATGTTCGCTATGATATGCACAAGACTATACATTGCGCAAGCAGTGGGAGTGGTTAGTCGGTACATGGCGAATCCGGTGAAGCTGTAAGCTGGGTTTCAAAATTGCAGTCAGTTGTGGCTACGTCCACAACAGAGGCAGAATGTATAGCAGCTGCACAAGCCAGTAAATAAGCAATATGGTTGAAGATGTTATTGGAGGAGCTTGAGCACAATCAAGAGTATGTCTCTCTATTTATGACAGTCAAAGCGCCTTGCATCTAGCAAAGAATCCAGCATTTCATTCAAGGACAAAGCACATACGAGTCCAGTACCATTTCATTCGTGAAAAGGTGGAAGAAGGTACGGTAGATATGCAGAATATCCATACTAAAGACAATATAACAGATTTCATGACGAAGGCGATCAATGCTGATAAATTTACTTGGTGTCGATCCTCTTGTGGCCTGACAGAAACATAAGCAACATGAAGGTACAAGGTAGAAAGAGTGATGTGAAGATATGATTGTTCCAACCAAATCTTCAAGTGGGAGATTGTTGAAAAGTCAAGTAAAATGGCCAAACATGTTGAAAAATCAAGCAAAACATTTCGGTGCACATGCTTAATTCGATGGAGCAGCAATTGTGGAAAATTGATAAATGGGAATATTACAATTTAGTCACTAAAATGTGGGGTATTTACAAGAATAGTCCTTAAGCGTCAACTATAAATACCCTAGCTCATTTAGCTTCAAAATCATCCCAAAGCATTCTAGCTTTCTTCCAATACTAGAGAGAATTTAGAGAGTTTCTTGAGAGTTGTAATTCCTATTTTCTCATAGTGAAATTCTTCTACTGTTGCCCGTGGTTTTTACCCTATATTATTTAGGGGTTTTTCACGTAAAATTTGTGTCTCTTTTATCTTCAATTTTAATTTTCTCAAATTATCAGTTGCGTTTTTGCTCTATCTGATAGCCGTCTTCCGCAACATAGGAAGCATTGCAACCGTGGCCAAAGCATCGATTGCCACCACAACAGATGTGAAGGAGCATGTGGGCGGGATCGTTAAATGAGAGGTGATTATTATAGAATACTAGACTGTTATGTTGAGCTATCATAATTCTAGAATACGTATAGATGATCACATCAATTGTGTGAAGGGACAGTAGGATATTTTCGAATCCTATATAAGGAAGAGATTTATACCCAACAGAGAGCTTTTCACTGTTCTTCTTCTTTACTTGATCATGTGTCCCGATCGTCTTTCCTTCAACACTTGAGCCATGGCCATGGAGTGCTAGGAATCTCCCTTAGAGCACCTCTGAAGATCGTTTGAACCGCCACAGACTGCAGAAGCAATTGTGGACGATCGACGAAGCTAGCTAGGAGCATCGCCAAACAGCTTCATAGGGATATGAATTGTTTTAGATGTTTCTGTTTGAACTCTTTATTTTGGATATTTGGATTACTAAGTGTTTGTATTTTTGGTTGGACGGAAGTTAACCTTCAATACTTTTTATATTTTGTAATATATTAAGTCTTCTTTTATTTGTTTTATATCTATTGAATCTAAGTAGTGATGCTTGCAGAAGTAATGTTGCTAATAGCTTTAGAACAAATCCGTTCTGGCGGAAGTCACTTTAGTCACAATGGAAGTTGGGCAGGATTATGTGCACATTACTTGTAGTGTATATCCTGGAAGGGAATGACGCTTGGGTAGTGAGCTTCGATAGAAGTAAACAGTTGTTTTGCTTTGTATATATGTTGTGCCTCATATCTTTATGATCAAAATACGTTTGCTAGTTCATTATGTGTTGTGGTTTAGTAGATCTGATGAGTGTTCCACTTCTATCTATTGATATTTTATTTTCTTTATTCTGCTTATTTCACTGTCTTCGCATTCACAAGCAACTCGTACAAATCTCAATCTTTCCTTTTCTTTCCAAAGAGTTAGAACTAACAAAAATAAAATACCATTAGCTCTGTTCCCTGTGGGTTCGACATCCTTAGCCGAAAGTATATTTCTATTCTACAATAAATAGCTTCCAGCTGTTGCGGTCACATATTAGTCGATCAATGGCTCAATTTTCTAAGTGAGGAAAATGAAGTTTTTAAAAATAATTTATATATTCTAATGACTAAATCAAATATAATCTTAAAATTTATTAAAAATAGTATATACTTTTGGTATATAAAACTATCAAAGTATGTTCAACAGGTTCAGTAATCATTAAGAGCAAAATTTTTTCTTCCTCCCCTAAGTATAAATTGTTAAAAAAAATATTGGACTTATGTTTGACATTTAATAAAGATTAAACCTTAATATAAATAATTACTAAAAGGTTGAATCTTATTTGAATATTTAGCGGTTGTTTAAAAGACTTGAACCTCTATGTAAACAAATACTATAAGATTGGACCTTATTTGAATATTTAACCGTTATTTTTCTGTAAGAACTTGAAGCCCAAGAAAAAGCAGCACTCGAAATCATTTCCCTGAATTACATTTTCAAAAAAAAAAAATAGCTGAATTACAAGGTACGACTAACATGCAAGTATTCGTACCGTTACTTTTCAATACAAATTTTAAGCACAGCTTACCACTTGGGCTGCTATTATGACTGGTTTTTCGAATGAATCCAACACATAAATGAATAGAAACCAAACTGATCAAATGCAGGAAATTTGCAGATGAAAGGAGTAATGCTAATATTTTGCTCTCTGCACACATTCAAATATCCATATTAAGGCTATAAAGAAATGTTTTACATAATAAATTACACCAATATTATGATAATCCGTAGTCTCTGTTTGTTAACCTATTTAATCTTACAGAAAGGGAAGCCATTGATAAAATATTTTGATGTTAGTACATCACCAATGGCATCAAAGAATTCGATCCATGATGTCTAGGAATTCCGCATCTCATGTTCTCTTGAAAAATTTCCCACCTCTTTTTCTCGTTCCGCTTCCTACAAGACTCGACGATAGCAAAGATTTTGCCTCTGGCCTCCAACGCAACTCTTTAAGATTACAGAATAGGGTTGCAAGTGCAGGGGATATGTCACTTTCCTTTATGTTCTTGCATGATACCACTATCAGAGTTTCGAGATCCTGCCATGAGAGAATCACAGCTACCAGACCATCGGTTGCAAGTAACGAGCAGCCTTCTAAAGATAAGAACTTCACTCTCCTGTGAGAAAAAAGAAATGTCCAAAAATTATGATTGTCTACTTCCTGGATCTCGTATTCTTCCATGTGATTGTAGCACTATTGTTGCTCATCATACTGCTACCGAACAAACATTATGATCTCATATTTCTACAAATAATCTAACCAATCTCATCAAACATTTTAAAAACTGCTTAGGCTGTATATATATACACAATTACAGTAGGTGGAACCAGTAATTGCATTTATCAGGGTCCAGCCAATCAATCCATCTGGACACCTGCACAATATATAAGTAATAGAAAAATGGTTCACAACCATTTGAGCTTTATTATAACACAAACTGACCCTTTTTTCTATTTCAGGCAACATCTTCTAAAGCAATACAGAAGTGAAATATAAACCTGACCATCAAACCATCTTCTATGAAACCACAAGCCATTGAAACGAAAACAGGCAAAGAAAATTTGAAAATAACAAAAATGAGAGAACAATCAATTATTACCTGCAAACACTTGCAAAGGTGAACATATAATTATCTAATCCCCAGCAGTCCACAACAAGGACCTCCTGTACGGCCTCGCATACCCGAAACAATGCTCTCACGCTCTTCTTATTCCCCAGCTGACACCTCTGCAAATACAACCGCTCGAGAACTAGACAAAACCCCAAGTTCTCGTCTGGACCAGGATATGAGTCGATCCTCTTACAAGACAGCAACTTCAAAGTCTTCAAATTCTCACAATAAGACAATGCAGCTAACCATCCGTCTTCCATTCTATGATCACAAATGGTCAATTCTTCAAGCATTAAGCAGCATTGCCCAATCGCTTTGATCCCATCGAAACTCCCTTCACATCCACTAAGCTCAAGCTTAACTAGCCTCTTGCACCCTTGAGCTAAGATAGTTAACCCAACGTCCGAAACCGATGAACTAAAAAGACCATCAACGGTTCCAACAAGTTTCAGGATTTGCAAATTCTCACAGGCTGCAATCCCGCGTAAGACGTTGTCGTTACACTTGTGTAACTCCAACTCTTGCAGTGTCAAACATTCTTCTGCCAGCGTTAACAACCCCAACTCGCTGGCGTTAATTACCACAAGTCTTCGGAGATTTGGGCAGCCATTGGCGAGTACTTGAAGACCCTTATCAACAACTTCAACAGGCAATAGATTTTCTTCCAAAAGATCTAAATTTGAGCAGAACCCAGAACTCATTTGGGTCGAAACCATCCGATGGGTTAGCAGAATCTCAGAATTCCGGGGCAAAAACAAACAACCATTAAGCAAATCCACGTGTGCTAAGTTGGGGAACCTTGTGATGAACCGACATGATACGAGGAAGTTCCAATCCAGGATCTTCAAGGACCGAACCAAGCGGCCTTGGAGATTGAGCCAGCGTCTGCAGACGAGAGAGTTGGATTTCCGTTGCGAAAGGGGTAGCTTCGAGAGGATTGTCAAGAGGAGCTCGTCGGATAAGAGAAGGGTCCGGTCGATGTTAGCGAAATGGGGGATGAGGGTTTGGGATTTGGGGTCTTTTGAAGCTAAAGACTGAAGCTGCATAGCGAGCACCACATGCTTCAATGGCTTTGTGTTTTTGAGCCAAATGTCCGACCACCTCGGCGCCGGCGGCCTCTTCTTCAATGGCGAATCTGGGCTTTCCTCCAAAACTGACATCCTTTCAAGCAATGCCTTCTCTTTCTCTGCAGCTACACTACGTTAACGTCTTTGGATTTCCTGCAAAAACAAATGAATTTAGCATTTCTGTGGAAACAAAACAGATGTAAGACTTTAGGGTTTTTATATTCTAATTTTAAAGAAGACGCACACAGGTGAGATGGGGAGTTTTCTTTCATATACGACTTTGATGCGGTTAACGGATTTCTTGAAGCGGTAGGGTAGGGATTTTGAATCAAAACGCTTGTTTTTAAATTTAGAAAGGAGAGAAAGCTTTGGTAAAAGGCTCTTGTAAATTGTGAGTATGCGAGGTAAAGTGTCAATTGCCTTTTGTCCCCCTCACATGTAGCCGTTAGAAATTTCAGACTGTTTTTTTAAGGCTTAATACACTTTTAATATTTTGAATTATACTTCAAATTAACTTTTCGTGTCTAAAATATTTTTGTTTTTGTTAAAAATAGGTGTATGAAGTTTCCTCTATTTTTTAGGTGTCTATGTTATATTTTTTAATTTTTTAATAATAACAACATTATTTTAAAAAGAAATTAAAAAAAATAAAACCCTAATGTTGTTTCTCTCCCTCCTATTCCCCACCACCAATGGTGAAGGTCATTAAATGTTGGATTTTGTTTGAAGTAGAGCGATGGGCTCAATGATAATGATCATCTAACGTACAGACAACTATAGCAGTCAATATGGCTAAAAAACAACAAAGGAAAACTTAGAAATCATATAACCCTTAGTGATGTTTTTCACAACGATCAGAATAGTTTCACGACGGGTGATAAACTAAGTTTCAGTCACGGTGACGAGATAGTTTTGATGGTATCAAGGGTGGTCGATTGGCGGTTGAATTTTGGGTGTTTCTTGGTTTTCATTTTAGAGTATAATATTAAATCTTTTTTAAATATATTTTTTGAAATTTAACGGTCGTTGTGGCTTAGGCACTTAAAAGTGTAACGTTCGAAATGATAGACACCTATTTTTAGCAAAATAATTCCTTAGGCACCAAAAGTCAATTTGAGATATAGTTTAGGCACTTAAAAGTGTATTAATCCTTTTTTTAATATGTTATATTTGTATAATTTTTATCAGAATAAGGTGATTACAAAATAGCATATGTTCGGAAGACTTTTAACTATTTGATAATGAACGCTGAAACATTCCTGTAAACGTCGTACTTGAACTCAAGACCTCCAGAAATAACGATTATCATTTTAACCATTGAGGTCGGTTAGTTCGTCTATCTTCGTACATTTATATTAGAATATATTTCAATTTATAATTTAATTTCAAATAATTTTATAATTAATCAAGTTTTATTTATTTAATAAAAATATTAAATAAATATAATTTAAAATAATAAATAATTCATCAAAGATAAAAACATAAATAAAAGTTAAATTGATATATAACTCTCATATAATATGTGATTCTTTTTAAAATATAAAGGGATAATTGAAAATTCAATAAAATTATTTTACCATGAAGAGATATATTTTAAATTATATTGGTTGTGTTTGATGCTATTTAATATAGACTTTAAGTGTTTATAAAAAAAGACTTAAGTGGACTAAGTGTCACACCCCGATTTTTTATTATTATTTATTTAATTTTAATATAATAATTTTTGGGACCATTTTATAAGATCTTAAAAAATCTAAGGTAGTTTTCGAGAAATTTTGAGAGTTCAAGGATGCATTCCCTGATTTGACCATCGTATGTCTACAAAGAAAAAAATATAGAATTAAGTTGTGGTGACTTGAATCTGTGACCTAGGGATAAGGATAAATATGCCTTAGCCATTTAGGCTATGGCACTATTGGTTTTTTTATTCAAAATGTCAATATTAAATTGAAATCCCTAGAAATTTTAATCCCCAAATCACTTGACCCATTTTCTAGTCATCGTCTACTGCTCATCGCCACCATTCTCCGATTGTCGTGTAGTGCATCGCCAGTTCCACCATTACCGTCATGATCTTGTGACCAGAACCCAGTCGAACAATCATCATAAAGCCTTGTCATTTGTTGCGAATCATCGATCGAAGCCTCGATTTTTCAAGTATTTCAGCCGATCCGGTGGTCGTCTAATCTTACCGCCACTCCCATTGGCTTTCCCGGCATCGTGCGATTGAAACCCAAGAGTTATGGTCAACTGTTGTTGCGCCATCGTCGTTCTTCATGGGTAAGACTTTCGACCACCTCCTTTTTCAATTTTTCATAGAGATAATAGGTTGATTTTGAGTTAATTTGGTTAGAAATGTTAAGTTGCAACTTATGGAGTGATCGACCATCCTCAACAATCTTCGTCGCCGTCGCACGCGCCGTCACGCGCTGGCAATGCGAGTGGGGCTTCTTGGCTAGTCCAGTGTCCTTCTGGAACTGATCCAGTGTCCTTCTAGAACTGGTCCAGTCAGACCGAACCGATCCAATCAGACCGAACCTGGTCGAGTTGAGTCAACCCATTAAGCTAACTCGTTGAGTCAACCCGGTTAAGTCAACTTGAACAGAGCCAACTTGTTGACTTTGATTGACCGTTGACTTGATCGTTGACCTGATAGTTGACTTTGACCATAGTTAGCTTTGACTTTGACCAAAAAGTCAAAAATTTCCAAAAAGTCATATTTTATGCTTTTCGGCGTCCTGAGTCCATTTTTAGGCACATGCAATGTATACCATGTAATGTACAATGTATATATGCTAATGTAAAGATGCACATGCAAATGCGAAGATGCAAAAATGGGAGTGCAAAATACGAGATGCAAATACAACAAGGAATTGATCCCAAAAGTAAATGTTCCTTGAACAATTCTTGAAAAACTGACAATGTCTCGGTCCACTGGGGAAGTGAAGATATGGTCCATCTGTAAGTTGTCCAGCTCCTGTGAGCATCTGGGTACTGCATCATCTTCAAAGCTTCTACTTCATCTTCTACTTTCGAGCTGGTTCATGATATTCAATTGTTGGCTTCAACGTTGAATCGTCTCGAGTCCAACTTGTTACCTCAACAGGCATATGTCTGGCTCGTCTCCTTGGTAAGTAGACTCCCTCTAGCTCCTACTTCATCTCGTACTTCCAGAAATCTATCGAGCTGGTTCGTGATCTTCAACTATTTGACTTTAGCGTCGAATCGTCTCGAGTCCAACTTGTTCCTCATCAGGAAGATGTATGGCTCATCTCCTTCGTAGGTGCTTCCTCTCGATGCTACTCGATATATGTGGAGCATCTTCGAATTTCTACCGATCCCAGCGAAAGGCATTGATGTGGCATTGTTTTTCAAGAACCCTCTAAACGATCAGTTATTTAAGGGACCAATACCTTTGAATGATAAAAATGCAATAAGAGTAGACAAAAGGAAATCAATGTTAATAGAAACAAGACAAAAATAATCAAGTTAGTTGAAATGATTAGTCCAAGAAATGTAGTTTTAGCAAAAAAATAATTAAATATGACTCAAAGTTGAGACTGAAAAATAAAGTATGCAAAGAAAATTAATAATCCTAACCGCATGTGTTCTAGTTCTCCTAGGTTATCCACATGACTCTAGCGGGTAGGTTTACTAAATTCTCTTTATGAGGTTGGGTTCTAGCAAAGGTTCCCAATCCATCTTTACAACCTACTAAGGTTGCCCTCGATTCTGGCCCATTACAGACTTGCGAATCGGATTTCTGCTTAGGGGATCACACCGCTAAAAGCGTTTATCGGAACTGATATTCGGACAGGCAACTTAGGATGCTTTCCAGAGATACTTCATTAGACCCACACAAGGAAGTCCAATGCTTTTCGTGAGATGTGATGTTTCTCCCTACTTAGATAAATCGGGTTTGAGCTCGGGTTTAGAGCTATGATATGCAACAAACCTAAATATTCATATAAGTGTAAGCATTAACAGAGAGAACATCTATTTTTTCTTTTGAAAGAACATAATGAACAGTAAATTAAATAAGATCGAATTCATAATTTCCAAAAATAATAAATATAGGGTAACTAACTCGTGGCTCGACTCTTAAGTTGTTTTTAAAAAAACAAAAGTCCCCAACAGAGTCGCCAAGCTGTAGACACCATTTTTTTACTCGGGCGAGGAAAGATCGATACCGAATCGGGGGTTTTCTCTTTGAACATAATTTTTTGAAATGTGAGGAGTCACTACCAATCATTTAAGGTGCGATTGGGATATTATGAAAATCGGGTGATTTTAATAAAATAATTTATTTTTATTAAAATATAAAGTTTTAGGGTCTGGAAAAATCCAGAAATCAGGTTTGAGAGTCAGTTATGCGTGGGGAAGGATTAACACCCCAACAAGCGCCCAAAAATTGGTACATAGTTGATTACCCTATATTTAAAACCGATAATTTTGAGTTCGATCTTTATTTAATTTGAAAATCATTACGAATGCAGAGTTGAAAAGGGTATTCGTTTATTGAGACCGATATCATTCGATATCAAGCGTAAATGCGAAAGATTAGCTATTGTGCCTAAAAATCGAATATTACCTCGTTTTTAGAAAATCATAATGAGATCTTGAAAAGTATGTCGACTTATTTCGGGAATTACCAGTAATCACTTCCGGAGCATGATTGCGGGAGATATACTATTAACTCCTTAATAAGTGAACAATGCCTTAGAGTTAAAAATAAATGCAATCAGTTAAAATTTTATTCATCCTAATTAAATTAAAAGTAAATTAAGGGTTTTTTCTGAATTAAGGTGTCAAATTATGAAATTAAATGAACCTAGAAGCTCAAACCTAAAAATGTAGGCTCTAATATTAATCCTATTTGATTTTAATAAACTATCGAATCAAATAATCGAGATGGTTCCTCGAGCATTTAGGCGAGGGCCAACTCGAATTATTTATTAAATTAAAGAGACTAAATCAAAACTTAGCTAAAAATGGAGGCTTTATTTAACCTATTTAATTATGTCAAAATTAAGGATCTAATTGAAATTCGTGGACTAAAAGGTCAAAGAATTAAAAAACCGGGCTCTAAAAGACTTAAAAGAATAAGGACCTAAATCAATAATTTTTAAAGTTGATGACTAATTTAAAACCTAAGTTTTATCTAAATTATTAAACCTAAAGTATTTTTTTTAAAATCGAACAATCGATTCAAGTAATCGAGTATTTTATGCGAAAATTTGACTCGAATTGCTCTCTAATTAAAACTAATGTGAAATTCTAATTTCTAAGCTTGATTCAAATATTAATCTAATTTAAA